GAAAGGGCAGGCATGGGGGGCAGGGAGACCCAAAGGGAAGGCATGGCTATGTGGAAAGGGGGCAGAGGGACCCAAGAGGGAAGAGCATGGCTGGCGGGAGGGACAGGACGCAATTATGGGAGAGTGGAGGAGAAAGAGAAGAAAGTAAAACACTTGAGACAACTAGTCAAAGAAACAAAGGAGGAATGGCATTCAAATGCAAAAGACAACTTCAAAAGCAAACCCACTTTTAGAAGAATCCTCCCCAAAACAATAGAGAAGTAGAGAGGGGAAAAAAAAAAAAAACTAGAGACTTCTGAAGCATAGTATTCATAAAAACCTTATACAAGCATGCAAGTAATAGTAGTCATTTAAAGATCTCAAAAACTACCATTTTACAAGGAAAAATAGATCTGGCTAATATAACTTAATTAAGGTTTATGTTTTAAAATAAATCTCACTTTTCTTAGGGCTGCACTCCACAAAAACAAGGCAACCAAGTATATGCCTTTGAAAAATAAGCATAATTCTTATGTTTTTAATTTTTTATTTTTTATTATGATAAAAAATACATAATGTAGGGGCCGGCCCGGTAGCACAAGTGGTTAAGCACGCGCTCCGCTGCGGCAGCCCAGGGTTCTCCGGTTCGGATCCCGGGCGCACACCGACGCACGGCTTGTCGAGCCATGCTGTGGCAGTGTCCCATATAAAGTGGAGGAAGATGGGCATGGATGTTAGCCCAGGGCCAGTTTTCCTCAGCAAAAAGAGGAGGATTGGCAGATGTTAGCTCAGGGCCGATCTTACTCACACACACAAAAAAATACATAATGTAAAATTTACCATTTTAACCATTTTTAAGTGTACAGTTTAGTGGCATTAAGTACATTCACAGTATTGTTCAACCATCACCCCTATCTATTTACAAAACTTTTTCATTATCCCAAACAGAAACTCTGTACCCATTGAACAATAACTCCCCATTCCCCACTCCCCCAGCCCCTGGTAACCTCTATTTTACTTTCTGTCTCTATGAATTTGCCTATTCTAGGTACTTCATATTAGTGGAATCATACAGTATTTGTATGATTTATATGAATATTTGTATGCTTTAAACAATCTAAATGTCCAAAAACAATAGAGGAATGGAGATTTTTTAAACTGACATAATTATATGATGGAATATTTTACAGCAATAAAAAATGACTAACTTTACCTACACTTATCAATACGGATAAATTTCAAAAACAATATTGACCAAAAAATGTTGCAGAAGAGTTAAGCACAGTATACCATTTATGTAAATGTTAAAGGACATACAAAACAACATATTACAAACCATTTACGGCCATCTACATTTGAGTGCACTTAAAAACATAGATCGGGGGCCGGCCCCGTGGCTTAGCAGTTAAGTGCGCATGCTCCACTGCTGGCGCCCCGGGTTCAGATCCCGGGCGCACACCGACGCACGGCTTCTCCGGCCATGCTGAGGCCACGTCCCACGTACATGCAACTAGAAGGATGTGCAACTATGACATGCAACTATCTACTGGGGCTTTGGGGAAAAAAAAAAAAAAGGAGGAGGATTGGCAATAGATGTTAGCTCAGAGACGGTCTTCCTCAGCAAAAAGAGGAGGATTAGCATGGATGTTAGCTCAGGGCTGATCTTCCTCACACACACACAAAAAAACATAGATCGAAAAACTATATAATAACTTCAGAAGAACAATTATGTCTAGGATAGGAAGGAAATGAGACTGGGAAGGAATACAAAGAGATAGCTGTAATGTTTTAGTTCTTTAAATAATAATATCTAAAGAAAATATGGCAAAATGTTAACAATTGTTAAATCTTTGGTAGGTACACGGATGATGGCGTATAATAGTCTCTGTCCTTTTCTGTTTGAAATATTTTATAATTTTAAAAAGAAGGACTAGTTAACATTTTAAGATTTTATTTATTTATTTTTTCCCCCCAAAGCCCCAGTAGATAGCTGTGTGTCATAGCTGCACATCCTTCTAGTTGCTGTATGTGGGACGCGGCCTCAGCATGGCCGGAGAAGCAGCGCGTCGGTGCGAGCCCGGGATCCGAACCCGGGTCGCCAGCAGTGGAGCGCGCTCACTTAACCACCAAGCCACGGGGCCAGCCCAGGACTAGTTAACATTTTAGAATGACAGAAAATAAGACAATATGTGTGCTTTGAAAAGGGAGATATGCTAATATGCACCAATTATAACTTTTATTCTCCCAGTCAACTTAATCGGCTCCTTTATAAAAAATTTTTAAATTATAACTGAATACACACCCATATTATCTTTGGAAAAGATATTCATAAAGAAAGTTAACGAGCATGAGCGTTACTACGGCACTTGAATCTGCCATGATTCCTATATTTCTTAAAGTAAATCATTTTGAAAATGTCTATACTTATTAGTTAAAAAAATACACTCAACCTAACTCATATGTATAATGGATATCATGGTTGATCACTGCTGCCCTAGCACACAGAAACCTAGATGGGCAAATCCATACATCCAAGGAGGGCAAAAACTCGCAGCTCAGGTCCAGATCCCTGACCTTCCTATTAGGATTCCTATTGAGCATCATGGAAAGTAAAGGTCATATAAATGATTTTAAATAATCAAGTCTTTACAGTGTTACTGATAACATGGAAGAACTGGAAATAAATCTTCTGTGTTTGGTTTAGTTAGGCTGAGTAAATTATGGCCATCTCACTGTATGGAATATTAGGCTGCTATTAATCAGGAAAAATATGAAGACTATCAACAACATAGAACAAAATTCCCAGAACAGTATTAAATAAAAGAAACAAAAAATTGTATAAACAAGGATTAAAATTGTGTAAAAATATGGGTATATACAGATAAAATGGGAGAGGAACAGAAATATCAGTTATATTTTGGTAGCAGGATTGAGGGAAATTTTTCATCTTTAATTTCTTTTAATGCTGGTTTAATAAATTATTTAACTAGTGTTTTACACTTTATATATTATAAAAGAATTAGCTAAACTATATCCCTTTTTCACAGCTATAATGCACAGGAACTTTTAGGTGCATTTTTTATCTTTTAGGTCTCTCAAGTTGCATTACTTTAAAACCAAACTAGCAGTCAAAAGGCAGAAACTCTGTTGCCTCTGCTTCTGGGATAGGCAAGTCAGGGAAGCTCTCTTCCTGATTCAACCTCAGCCTCTAGATCTGACCTGCTGTCAAGGCAGAATGGAGAAGAATACTAAACTTAATCAAGCGAGTTCTATGTCTGAGATCCATCCACTGACTACATGACCCTGGGCAAGTCACCGAACCTCTCTAATTTTTGTGCTCCTCAATCCCTAAGTTTCGTTATTTACAAAATTCTCCACGGAATCCAACTGATTGAAGATTCATCTCAGATCCAGGATCCATCCCCCATCTTCCTACCTGCCTAACCCTGGTGAAAACAGTGCTTAGCATTGGATTCCACTTCACCACAGGCAGGCCAAATCTTTAAGAGGCAATTATATTCCTAAAGATAAATAGCATTTGTTTCCCAAGAAAAAAACTATTGTTTATTGAATACCTGTGCACCTGTGCATACCAAGCACTTCATATATGCTATATGAACCACCTTTGGGGTCGGGGGGGGGGACACCACAGACTCACAGAACCAGTCCCTGGAGTGAGCCAGGGAAATCTGCATTTGTAACAATTATCCTTAGTGATTCCTAAACACACAAGTTTGAAAACAAAAGGTCTAAGGCCAGCGTGTGTCAAACTCTGAATGACAATTCATTACTAGGTTGGGGTCTACATCCTAAAAAATGTAATGGAAAGTATCAGAGTAAACTGCATATAATAAGTGTTGTCTCTGCAAAATGATTGTCAATTATATATTGTGTATGTATGTACTAGCTCACAATATAAAATTTCTTTCTTACTGTGAGTTAGTCATAGCCAAAATGTCCGAAAAGCACTAGCTAGGCATTAAGGACTTAGAATAAGGCACAATGAAGCAGACCAGAAACAAAAAAGCAAGCAAGAAGGAGAAAGCATAGCATATATAACTTAAGCTCCACAAGTATCTAAAGAAATAAAATTTAAAACACTTAAACTCTGATCACCTACCATCTAATTATGGTATAGGTAATTTGGCCAAAAAGCCAATAACTCTCCTTTAGCCAATAACTTAAATATTGTATCACCATTTTTGTTTACTGTAGGAAATAACAAGTAACTCAAGCTTCACTAACCCCTTCACCAGATGGAGTGGAAGCTAGAAAAACATGATAGCAGAAAGAAGGAAAGCAGTTGAGTCAATTCACAGTCGAATTCCAATCCCGGGATAACCAAAAGTAACCATCCATTAAAAAACCATCCTATCTCACCTTGCTTACAACTCTCAAATAATGGATGCAGGGCCCCACCATCAAACACTGCTAATCAGTCCAAATACTTATTAAGCAATCCTTTTTCCCCCCTTGGTCTAAAACCAAACCACGGAATTCATGGGAAACTAAGATCACAACTGTACCTCTAGGTGAAGGAAGACACTCAGATTGCCAAGCAGTGGCAACCGGCGGCGCGCCTGCGTTTCTCCACTCCAAGGCGGGAAAAGCTGGGCACTGGGTCCCGCAATGTCCCTGGGAGTGGGAGCGACGCATAGCCCCGGCCGGTGCCTCATAGGACCCGCGTGCCGGCCGAAGGAGTGCTCTCCCTGGGGCTCTGGGCCCAGAACGCTTGCCCACAGCACAGGGGGAAAAAAGTGCGCACGCACACACAAACGCTGAGCCCGGACCGAACCACAACAGGTGTCTCTGCCGCAGGGCGAGGAGGGGGCGGGGAGGGGGCGTGTAGAGCGGCTGCAAAACCTTCTCAACCCCCGGGCCACCGAGCCTACTCTTCTGCCCCCGCTGCTCCGGATTGGCGGGAGAACGAGTTGTGCGATGTGGAATTCACACGCGGGAAAAGCGTAATGATGAGCAAGGCCTGCTGATGACTGGGTCAAACGAAAACCCCGCAAACTTACCTCGGTGGCAGCCGCCGCCACCCTCACTGTCCGGGCTCCAAAGTAAATGGGCAGGCCTCAGAGACTGTGTAGTGGCCAGAGAGGCGGGCCGGAGCCTACCTCAGCCGGAAAAAAACCGGCCTCAACTGTGGGCAGGTTCCCGCTGGGGTGACGCTAAACAATACAGGGGCTTAAAGGGGGTCGACCAGGTTAACTGGAAAGGGCAGCCGGGGACTCCAACTGGCACGCGCTCTGATTGGTTGATTCTGGTGTTGTTTCAAAGGAGACTCTTCTATGATTGGCCAGGAAAGTCAAGCGGGAACCCGGAGGTGGTGGGTGCCGGGTGGGGGTGGGGAACAAGTTGTTACCCAGGCAACAGAGAGACGCGGAGCTCTCCACAGTCTATTTTCGGAGCCTAGCGAGCGACCAGAAAACTCACGCAGGTGAGGAAACCCGAACCTTAGGAGGGGGAACGAAGGAGTCCTCAGATGTCGTGGCTATCAGAGAAAGTAGGGAGAACTCTAGATACTTACAACTCTGCGAGACACCTAAAAAAGCCACAAGTTGGAGATAGAACAGACGCGTTCCCTAAATTCTCCTGCCCTAGATACTCGCAGCAGGATGCCGCTTTGACAAACTCAGTCTATCAGGATGTGAGAGACGGGGCAGTTTTACCGTACGGGGGATGGTTGCTGATCGAATGTCCGAAGGCCAAAAAGAACATGTGAAGGTTTCCCAACCCCTTTCTCTCGACTCTTACACACACTTAAAGGGTTGTAACAGTAATTTGAGAGTGAAAACTGTTTCCTTATAGGTAAATCTGGGTGCTTCAAGTTGGAGGCAGCCACTGTACCTTCTGTTTTAAAAGTACAGGCATGATTTATCCCAGACCAGCATGCCTTGGTTAGGATATATATATCTCCTATAATAATATATATATAAAATATATATATATATTTTTTAATGGTGACATTCTATTTTTTTCTTTTGAGGAAGATTGGCCCTGCACTAACATCTGTCGCCAGTCTCCCTCTTTTTTCTTTTTTCTCCCCGAAGCCCCCGTACCTAGCTGTGTATCATAGTTGTAGAGCTGTGGCTCTTCTATGTGGAACGCCGCCTCAGCACGGCTTGACGAGCGGCGAGTAGGTCCGCGCCGGGATATGAACCGGAGAACCCCGGGCGGCCCCGCGAAGCGCAGCGCGCGAACTTAACCGCTACAACACCGGCCGGCCCCTGGGATCTATTTTTTAGGGAGTATAGCGCTGTTTTGACTAAAAAAAATTGGCCCAGGCCCATTGTTACATCAATGATGTCTTGTGTTCAAAACGTGGACGCTGTGGTCTGAGGGTTCGGCGTCCGTTGGTCAGATCCGTTGAGCAGCGAGAAGCAGTCAGACCACCCTTAGAGGGCGGGAGCCTGGGCGAAGACTCCTTGTACCTAAACCCTCTGCTCGCCAAGGGCTGGTTGGGAGAGTAAATATTATATGTCGTTGAACTGTACCTGTCAAAAGGTGAGGAACTGTGTCAAAAAATGAAATCTGAGGGGGGAGAACCGAGTTTGACCAGAGAGGTAGGGATCATTTCTCCTAAGAGTTTTCTGTTGTGACAAGGATTCAGAACAGAGACTATTTCCTAAAGAAATGAAGAAAACAGGCCTGTTGGGGAGGAAATTTCAAAGTACTGAAGGCAAATTTGCTGTCTCAACTCCTTTTTACATAGAGGTGGAATATGAGACTAAGAGAAACAGGAAAAAATTATTAAGTGTATTAAGATTGGCTAAAATAATGATAGAAGAAATTTTAAACCAAAAGAGGCTCATTTCTTGACTTTTAGGTTTATGAAAAATTCCAGGTACTTTCAAAAATCATCTTCCATTAAATATATTTTAAATTTGTAACAAAAACTAAGTCCCCATACTTACTTATGACTTGGTACATTTGATGACAGTGCAAGTTAGAGACCTAAAAAAGGAAATCATTCTTGGTATTGTAAAGACAAAGTCAAAATGAATTATTTTTAATATTGATGTGTATAGTTGTCAAAAAATGTAAAAAAGAAAAATTAGCCAGTATATTATAATTTAATTCAGACATAGGCAGAGATGATGTTTACTTTTGTGTTTTCAGAAGAATTTTAATGCAAGGATTGCTAAATAAGGCATTATGTAAATAAAGTTGAAGAAAAAGAAATGCCAGATTATTTAAGAGAGTAAATGGATTTTGAATACTCTGAAATCATCCAGCTATAAACAGTCAATACTTGACATATGTTTATATGTCTATGTGTTTACCTATTACACGAGTTCCCAAAGGATACTATTTTGTGATTCTTTATTACCCTGATTTTATTTACTATATATACTTGAATTAATAAAATGTCTCGTTTTTTTAATAGTCTGTAATTCAGAGTTTTCACTAAGTTAACCTAGACTTCTCTCCAATTAGTTCAAGTCAAAGAGCCATCCCAAATTGACGCTGGATGGAGGCAAATAAAATAGAAAGCCCTCACCACCAGAGTCTGACTTAATCTCACATTACTGATGTTGCTTCAGAACCATGGGTCTGGAGCCATCCTGGTTGAATTTGTCTAGTCCCTATCTGGCCCCAGTGTTTTGGTAATGAGCTGGTTCTGAAGTGTCTGTCTCTTTAGCTCATTGTGGCTAGTACCAAGAGAGATTCCCCAATCACACCTCTACATATGAAGGCCTAAAGGTTCAGGTTGATGTGGGAAAATAAAAGTCTCTGTCTGGAAAATGCTGCCATTGGAATTGGCCTAGCAAAGGAGAGTGAAAGAAAGAAAAACAAAGGGCCTAGAAAATTTATTTTCTAAATAACCAAATCTCGAATAAAAGATTTAGCAATAGATTTTGTTTTTGATGAAACTCCTACTTAAATTTTCCTTAGTTTAAATTTATTCTTGGCCCATTTAAGTGCCAGATTCAAACATAGGCAGTGTGGCTCCAGAATCCTTTTTTCTTTTTATCAATACACTATACTACCTGAGTAGTCTAGGCAAAAGGAAGAACACATTCCAAAGTACAAAGGCAATAGATTACAGGGTATGTATAATAAGCAGTTCAGTTTTTAACAGAATGCAGATTACATGTAGGAGAATAATAGGAGGGAAGGGCAGAAAATTAGGCTGTGTTTATATCCTGAAGGACTTTGATTGCCAGACTTAACGTCTATCAAATTTACAAATAAAAGATAGCTCTACAAATAAATAACACTACACAGTTCAGAAAAAGGCATCTTGCTTTAGTTTTTCCAATGTGATCTGTTTGTGTCAAATGAACTTTAATACGTTTTTAATAAAGTAATACATTATTCTTATTTTATTAGACTTCTAAAAAAGCTAGTAGAATCTTCATTTCCTTTGAATTTACAATATTTTTTCCAAAAATTCACATCGTTGTTTTTTGATACTTTGAACTAATTATTCACAAAGTATTGGTGATTCTTTTGTTTCTCAAAATATATTATCAACAAACTTGTCATGATTTATTATTTTGTGTTTACAGATTATTATTACAATTGATACGGTAAAAATTATTTTTTGCTAAAGTGCCAATTTTATTATGATATTTCTACTCCAATTTAGCTAAGTGTGAATCTATGCCATTTTTTGCCAGCCTAATTTGGAATTTAAGAAGTCCAGTTCTTAATATGCTTCAGATATACAGAGTGTCACTATAAATTATTGTGAATGATTTGTTTAACAAATACACTCAAACATACACATCCCAATGAGTGGCATCTCCTTCAAAGCAGTCACTTTGGGAGGCTATCCACTTATTCTAATGCTGTTGTTATTGCTCAAATTACTTTTGAAACTGCTCTTTTAGAATTGCCTTAGGCTGTAGCATATTCTTTTGAATATCCTCAAAGTAGCAAATCTTCATATTTTGAAAGTAGATGTGATATCTAGATATATCCAGAAATCACTTGGAGACAAATTTGATGTGTAATCAAACTGAGTGATATCATAAAGATACCTATTTTCTTGGTGATTCATATGAAGGCAATTCCAAAATATTTTGAGCATTGGTAGCATAATATACATCAGTGTATAACATTCCAAGGTGACTTCTTTGAAATACAACCTTCGTATGAATTTCATCATGCTTCATTCAGTATTCATCAACTGCTGACTGTATGCCAGCTCGTTATTGAAGATGTTCAGCCTACAGGTATAGCTTCCCTCTGCTCACACTGTCCTACCTCTAACCAAATGAGAACCAGGCCAGAGCTCCTTCCCAACTGGTGGGGATTTAGAATTAATCTGCTTTCTCTAAGTCTAGTATCCAGTGTACCCACTGAACCACAGCCTTCCTTCATAACCTCCACTGTGGCTGCCCAGGTGACATGAGAAAGCCTCTGATACAGTGCCTGGTTCGTTTTCTCTTTTCCAGCTGTGACATTAAAGCCCTGCTCTATTCTGAATCTTCATCTAGCTGCCAATTCCGTCATAGTCCCCAAGAGCCAGACCCTGCCTCCTATACTCCCACCTATGGACCAGGGACCTACTTCACCCTAAATAGGCCTCCCTGTAACCACAACTATTCAACCTTTCTGCCCCGAAACACTGCTCATATCCTAAAACTCCCACTGCCATGTCCCTGCCAAGCAGTTGAGAATGCATGAATAGCAGTTCTGATTGCGACCTCAGACACTATATTTGGGACTTCAGAATACCCTTATTCTGGGTTAGCTCTACTGGTTCCAGTTTATTCCCTCTTATCAGCTCACCATTGAGCTCTTACAAACCTCATCATCAAGTATCTGTGGGTGCTGGCACTATGTGCCAGATAATAATGATATTTTTATATAGCTTTTCATATTTTAGCCAACTCTTTCACCTATGTTGCATAATATGGCCATCACAACAATTTTATAACGTAGGTAATGCTGGAATAATAGAACAATTTCCGCTATATTTGTTTTTTTAAAGTCTCATTGTACAATCTCAACTCAAAATACTTATTATATTGCATCTGATATCTGGGTCCATTTTCCCCTTTTGTTGTCGAAGGTAGAAAATGTTTCAATAAACTTTTTGCTTTTAATGTTTAGTAAATATTTAATGAACTCATAATCAACTAGGACTTTTAAAATATAAACAAGGGCCTCTTTGTTTAATTTAATGTGTCAATTATTCATTTCCAGAGCAGACTCCCAGACCATACTGTGAGAGAAGATTATTTTATCACCTCTTATTTCACCTTTTCCAATTTAATGAGTTTCCAGTGTAATGAGTTTTATCATTAACTTTTTCGACATCATTATTAGAAGTGATATTCATGCCCAACAAAATTAAGGTTTTAAAGGACCAATAGAGCTAACATATGTTGAGTGCTTCCTATGTGCCAGGCACTGTTCCAAGCACTTTTATGTGTATTAAACTACTTAATCCTTGTAACAACCTTATGAGGTGGCGCAATTATTATTCCCATTTTGTAGATAAGGAAAATGAGGTGGAGGAAGTTTAAATGATGTGCCCAAGTCACAGAGCTAGGAAGTAAACAATAGATACAAATCTAGGCGCTGTGACTCTAGAGCCCTTACTTACTCCTAACCACTATGATATACTGCCTCTGTGCTAGATGTACAGGACAATTTAACATTTGTTTCATACCTCGACATCTCTGATAAGCATCAAGATATTTAAAAAAGCAAGTCAAAATAATGGTAAAACAGAACATTTGTAAAACACCATCTGCATGCAGATTGATTTTGACAGGTAGATTGTACCAGCACGCGTTTGAGAATCCCTTTGTATTACTGTTCCAGGCACAATGCAAAAATTTTAGTGGATAATTTTATAAAAGCACTAAAGAAATTTTTCCTGTGAATTAATTTTATAAAATGTTTAAAAAATAGCAGAAATGTAGAAAAGATTCCAATTATGTTTATGCCCAAATCATTAACAATAGGCCTAATTCTACAGTCTTTATTCAGGTTATTCATTAGAGTCTGACACTTCCAAGATTTTTAAAGATCCTGAATTACTACTCCAAATATAACTGTAGAGATGATTTAAAAGACTGATGTCTGGTTGGTAGGATTATAGGTTGTTGTGATTTTATTATTTATACTTTTAATGTATTATTTCATAAAATTTCCACAATAGACTTATATAGTATCAGTATTATAATCAGAAAAACAATTAATTTATTTTGTATGAACTTTCACTAAAGTCAACGAACCAACCCATTAGAGTTCTCAAATGGCAATATGCTAGGCATTATCAAGAGTTAATTAAGAATTTAGATAAAGCAGAAGGTATAGGCCTGCCTGAGGCAAAAATGTGAAATGAGGAAAGTTCCTTGAGACATACCCCCCAGCAAACATCCTTTTCAGTTCACTAAAGGGAATATATACAGCCTAGACAGCATACATGAGTCAGGTAAAAAGGTAATCTACAAAAGTGTATTTCCAAATAATGATGTACATTCTCTATGACACTGACATACACTTTCTCTAGAGGTAGTGCTCAAGAATCTGTTTGTAACTAAATGCCCAAGTGATTCTTAAGCACAGTGAAACCTGAGAACCACTATAGTAGACGCTCAATAAATGCTTGTTAGATTGAGTGTGAAGTTTTACTAAAGCAAGCTGAATACCTGAGTTTACTTGCTGTCCCAACTCTGTGAGTCAGCAAAATACATATATCTGAAGAAGTTTACAAGGATTTTCAAGAAAGAATAAGAGATAATGGAGTGACCCAAGAAAAGAAGGGAGATATGACAATAAAAAAAATCTTCGTCTTAAATAAAATAGAAAGCTAAAATACCTCTTTCTGATTGTCTTCTTTCTCAGAATATGGAATCTGAAAATATGGAACCTGAAAATACAGAAAATGAAAGTATGGAAACTGAAAATGTGGAAACTGAGACTATGGAAATTGAAACCATTTCTTCGGTTTCAGCTCTCCAGGCCCTCTCTAAACTACTTAATCCTGAAGAAGAGGATGATTTTGAATCTGGACAGGTGGTCGAATACTTACAGATGAATTAGTTCTGTTCAACTAAATTGTGAAACTGTATTTGAACAACTTGTTCCAACCTTGCTGTGTGAGCAAGGCTGTGTCATCTGATATAGTCACAGGAGGTTGCAGGGCTGATTATGCATGAGAGTATAACCTCTAGTGCATTTCTAGGAAACATAATTATATTTTTTCTAAACTACCTGAACACTGAATAGGAAAATAGTTTTGTAACTATGGTAGCAATAGCCACATTTCAAAATGTTTGTCATTTATATTCATGGCCGTAGAATGCTTGACAACCATTTCAAAGAGTAACAGCTAGAATTTTTAAGCCTGGATAATATTTCTATAAAACAAATAATTTCAATTATACAGTACTAATTAAGCCTCCAAAATTCAGTCCCCTTAATTTTTTTTTATTTGTCTACACATGAAGGCAAAACAGAAAATATTTTGAGCCAATTATGGGACAAACTAGCTTCAGCCTACTACAATTGACTTCCGGGTACATGCTCAGATAGAGCTGTGGAATCTAATGAGTTGAGTAGCGTTTGGGGTCAGGACAGGTAACCCCAGGGAGGCTTGCAGAAGCAAGATGGGCTTCCTTTTGGGTAGGAGAGTTCTGTGAAGTGACTTTGGCCACTCCACAGTCACAGATTATTCCCAGAATAATCAAAATACTTTTATGTAACCCCTGCTCTCCATTCTCCTACTCTTTAGATATCAGCAAACCTTGGCTATCAGACTGCCTAGGTGAAGGCAAACAAAATTTGGGGCAGAAACCTCATACTGTAGCAGGATATATCGATTTGCTTTAAATTGTTTTAATGAAGTTGTTCATTATTATGACCAGTTTACCATGAATAAGCCATCTCCTATGAACATATGCATAAATTTACTCCTCCCAAAATTCTTTTTTTGCCATAATGTGGAAAAACAAGTATAATCTGAATAGGCAGAAAATTCAGTGGCTCAAATGGACACTGGATTGAGCTTCCCCCCTCCAGGAAGAGCTTATGTGAAACAGGGCAGAATCAAATAAAACATGCAATGGAAATAAAATTTGTAGAGGAGGGGAACTGAGTCAGCTTGTTCAAATAGAGAAAAATCAAGACGTTAATAACAGCATTGAATATATACAACAAATAGGACACAGGAGAAAAAGTTAGGAGCAATGTATCAATGAATTTGGGAAGGGAAGCTCACTTTTGCTACCTTAGCTGAAATAGAATGATACATCCTGGGAAAGGTAGGATTTGTCATATAGAAAAATTATATTAAGTATTTGAGAAACAGTGATCTTGAATAAAGGGAAGGGGAACTTGTAACTGGAACAGATTCGGAGATAAGGATTTATCCTAGTTACAAAGCCTGTTCCCTTTGGCATTTATTTATGGAGATGTTTATTTGTATCTAGAGGTGTTTCTAGGGGAAAGATGAGTGCTTATGAGAATAGAGAGACTAGGATCATTTTACCAAATTGTACAATTTATAAAAGAAAATTACTATAATAATGTATGATTCTGTATATCTGGGTTAGAAGCAATTTTGAGATAATTGGTCATTCAGACACCACAGTACAGATATCATTAGAGGATATAGAATTGGAGTATCAGAACAGTAGGAGAATAATTAATGTTTCTAATGAACTATTAAATTTTCCAGGAGAGAAATGGCTTTTCATTTTTTAACATGTATTAATCTTGGGAACTGTGGAATGATTACAAGAGTGATGAGTTTTTGAAAATATACTCTGAAAACATCATTATAACTGTTGCATACACATTGGTTTATTTACACTATCCCCACCATGAATTGTTAAGAATCTAGGAGATTGGAAAGAGAATATGTCTGTTGTTTTTTAAACTCACGAGGGTATCATAAGACCAGTGGGAAATAAAGTTCACCACTCTTCACAGACATTGTAACAAGGATGTTCTAACTCTCTTACATATTACAAAGTGGCATGAATTGCAATGACAAATTGCTCATATAATTGGATGTGGATTCATGGTAAAGGCTGAAATATATTCTTGTAGAAAACAATTACCAGATGGTTTTTAATGTTTCTATTATCCTGATCCCTTTTTTCATTTGAAAATTTTATTTTTAATCATTTATTTTCATTAAGTTAATAAACTGAAACTCCCTCTCTATTGTGATATACTGATCCAATCATCACTGTCCATGGAGAGCATACCAATTTTTGTTAGGAATGTTCAAGTTTTTATTTCTACGGATTTTAATTTTCTGTGGAAGGAGGCACTCAACAAAACAAGAGGCCCTCATGTTCCAAGAAAAGCTTTACCCTGATTGACTATTAGTATTCTGGTGATTCATAATTTAAGAAAAGCATTACAAGTTTATATGACCTTAGTGATTAAAAAGAAAAAAAATGTACACAATATTGTCTTGGGATTTTCACATAAAAATGCCTGTAACACCTTAACTGCAGACATAGAACTTTTGAATCACCTCTTGGAAAGGAATAGTTACTGTCTCAGAAACTGATGAGATGTTATAGATTAATTTCCTATTTATAGCTTTGGAATAGTTTAGCATAATAAAGACCCGGGTGAGCTTTTCCACTAGCTTTCAAGGACAGACAGTATTCCTCTTGTCCAAACAGGACATTATAACAGTACATGTCTGAAGTCTTGGGAGATAGGGGCAGGGGCCTGAGAAAGGAGAGCTAGAGGTGCTAGTTTGCCAGGATCCAAGGAGATAAGAATTTTTTCACTGACAGCAATAGAATGAATTGGAGCTGCATAGTCTGATATCAGCAAGAACAATTAGTAAAAAATTGGGATTTTCTTGAAAGATCAAAAAAACCCTGAGAGGGACTAATGAGGTGGTTGCCGCTATGCTGATAGCGTAATATGTGTTATACTTAGTTGAAAAAAGGAGAACTAATCTTGTACTGGTGAGTCAGGGACAGTCCTGTGGGGGTATATATGCTTGTGCAGAAGATGGCAAAATAAACTTGAACTTGAATGAAAACTGAAGTGTTTCAGCATGTATTTGACACTATTAATTTGGGGCTGCTGTTTAAATTCACCAGCATCATTAGGTGGTGAGATGAGGAAGTGTTTTATACCCACAGTGGAAAGAAGTAAAAGCTGTTATCAGGACTTTTGAATGAGTCAATTGATGTCTAAATACTTAGATTCTGTTTAGTGGTTTGTTTTTATTTCTATAAAACTTTCCCATACTTCTATCCTCCAACTAACTATGACCAGACAATGCCAAAACCCAAAGATGTCAATGCTCTTATACTAACACTTGGTTCTAACCTTCAAAGAGATGAGTGTGGCTCACTCCCCTATCCCTGGGGCTACATGATTCACTGGGCTGGAACTGGGCATTTAGTTTGATCAAAGATCAATTCTGACTTAGGGTCTATTAAACCAAATACTTTTTGAAAGGACAAGGAAAATATATTCAAAATAATACTGGACATCTGTCTTTCTGTTGTATAACAATAATGGGTAATTAAACTGGGAAACTCTATGAAATTTTAGATGGAAATCCTATCAAATTTAAAGTATTACTAGTCATATAAGTTATACAAGTAGTAATTACAGAATGTTGGACTTTATTCTTCTCCCCTAGTCAAGCTATTCATCTGCTGCTGGAGCCATGGGTCCTGGGAATATTGGACCACCAAAAACAGAAGAGCTCAAAGGTAAGTTATTTAATAAAGAGTATTGATCAATATAATCGGTATAATCTTTTCTTTGGAAGGAAAATTATAGGGAGAGTAATAATAACACCACCATTTATTAAAGACGAACTCAAATAATTGTGGAAATGATGAACAGACATTTATATATAAAGATGCTGTTTTTACTGTACTGTTGCAGGTAGTCGTTTTTCTAGTAATGGAAATTAATTTGCCTTGAATTACTCACATTTTTGGGGTATATTTCCTGAGATGGAAAACTAAGAAAGTCGCCTGTGGTTAAATAACTTTTTTATTATTTAGGGTCTAGTTACCAAGATTCTTAGCTTCTTCGCTTTCTATCCTGCCATATTCTGGCAATTTCACAGAATTCACTTATTAATTCATTCAATAAATGTTTATTGAGAGCCTATTATGTACCAGGCAGTATGATCATCCCTGAGACTACAGTAGAGATCAAAATAGAACAAAAAATAATAAAAAATAAAAAAAAAAGAATAGGTCTCTACCCCTATTGAGCTGATAGGCTTTTGGAGAACACAATAAAACAATGAACTACACAATTTTGTCTTACATTGAAATGCTTATAAATTAAAGCCCATAGAGTGGCCTATATAGTCACAGTTCCAGTAAACTAAAATAAATATTTTTGGGATGTTTTCCCAGCATTTTGGCCTATACATTTTCACAGAGTTAAACATTGTACACATCTTCACAAATAGAGAATGCTCTAATCCTCTTGGTCATGATCACAGTTACCAGAGGGTGGCCAGGGAAAGGAAATGAAGTTCCTTCATCAATTTAGCTAATGGTAAAATATTTTATCTGGAAAAATGTTTAAAATAATGGCTAAAATGAGGTCTGAGGGGATGATTTTAAAATTTCAGTTATCATCTCTCTACATACTCTAGAGTCTATTTGCCTTATTCAAGAGATATTCACTCCACAGAAGACTAGTTCAAATTTGGATGTATTTCTGATAATGTAAGTCTAATAATCTCTAAATTCTGAGAACAATGAGTCATATGTAAAACATTACATATAAATCCGTAATTAGGCTTTACAAAGACCATGCTAGATCGAAGCAGATAATTTCAAAAGAATTGTCAGAATTGAAAACCTGATAATCAGGTGCATTTCTGGGAATGCTTAAAAGAACTCAAAATAATGTTCTGCACGTAATGTCAGTTTCCATTTGCTGCCCCAATAGTTGGAACAAACATGTAAGCTGTTTTTTTGCATGCCTATTTACTTTCAAACATTTAAAAATGACATGTAGAAACCCAGGCACATGTTCAGTTCTAAATAAAGGACAAATGATAGAGATTTTCCTTAAAGCTCATGTCTACATGAGGAAAATACCAGGTTAAAAAATGATCATTGCATCCACTGCATGCAGTTTTATTAGCAGATAATATTTTTTTAAAATTATGTCATGCTTGCATGGAAAAGGTATCAAAGGTATCAAACAATGCAATATAAGACATTTCTACCCAAATCAGATTGATGGTATGTTTGATTTGTTCTTTTATATAAAAATATTTTACATATGATTATGTTTCTGAAAAAAATATAGTATTTCTTTGCATATATATATTTTATATATATTATTTTATATATTAAATATTTATATGTTATTGGGGGTGTGTGTGTGTGTGTGTGTGTCTGTGTGTGTAGAGAGAGAGAGACAGAGGCAGAGAGAGAGAAAGAGAGAGAGAATGGAAAGTTATACACCAGAATGCTATCATTGATTATCTCCAGGCAGTTGGATTGTAGATTATTTTATTTTCTTCCTTTTGCTTATACATCTTTTCCAAATTTTCTACAACCATTATTATAATTCTACAATGTATTGGTTGTGTATTGATTAAAAATTTTTAAGTCAGTTGTTACTAATTTAGCTTGTTTTTTGGTCAAAAAACTAGTGATTAGTCTGCTAGTGATTACTAGTAGAAAATGTTTTACTTTAGTGATCCCAAACTAAGTGTGAAGAAAAACAGGAGCAATTTCGAGGGGGGAAAACAGCCAACAGTGTCAGCTTTATCTTCCCTTTCTTCACAGTCATCCCTCAAACCAGTGATGAAAATAGTGAGGAAATCTGGAATCCAGAAGATGTTCCACAAGGAGCAGAGCACGATGATATGTGGGATGTTAGAGAACTACCGGAGTAAGTCAAATGAAGCCAGGAATGTCGTTTAGGGATTTAAGTCAGATCTGTCATCTGATACCATTCTATTTTTGACAAGATTCATAAAGTAACTTCTACCACATAAAAGATAAAACTACAGTGACACACAGAAGGCGTGTGTAATTGATGATTTTTTTCCTTCTAGAGCAGAAACAAATAATAAAACATAACACCTTCCTTTCGGTTATTATCTAACAAAAAATACAGATATTTCCATTACAAATTTATATTTAATGTCAGTTAGTTGTATAATCTGGAACTAACAGTGGGAAAAACCAGCCCATTAAATTACCAGCATTCATACAAAGTAAATTATACGATGTTTATGTGTCAAAGATCTGCTCAGTGTTCCACAAGTTTGGTAAGAAGCTATGTTCTCCTCCAATTATCAATTATTTATTTACTAGTTATTTTAGGATTATGTTTAGTATATTTTGCAAGCAAGATTGAAGCCTCACTTTATAGCCTCTTCAGTAGGATTATAAATATGAATTATAAATATGAAATTTAGAATTATTATCATAAAAAGCCTTTCCTGGGACCAGCTCAGTGACGTAGTGGTTAGGTTCGCACTCTCTGCTTCGGCGGCCCGGGGTTCACGGGTTCAGATCCCGGGCACAGACCAACACACAGCTTATCAAGCCATGCTGTGGCAGCATCCCACATAAAATAGAAAAAGACGAGCACAGATGTTAGCTCAGGGCCAATCTTCCTCAGCAAAAAGAGGAGGATTGGCAACAGATGTTAGCTCAGGGCTAATCTTCCTCACACACACACAAAAAAAACCTTTCCTTCTGATAAAAGAAATCACTCATATTTTTAAGGAACTTAAAGTATGTTTACATACATAATTTAAATTAATGGATAAATACACTAAGCTTGTATATATATATTTTAAAATAAAATCTTGATTGACTATTTAGAATAGCTTGAAAAACAAAGGCAATATTTACTAAATTTTAATGTACTTTATAAATTCTTGAAGACTTCTATGGCAAGTAATATGACAACTTTTCTAATTCTGACTATAAACTGTATCCAATGCTTTAAAAAAAAAACCTATGCTTGTATTTTCTATGTCAGTTCTGAAAATAAAAGCAGTGGGGAGACTGCACATAATTAACTGGAAAATAGTATCTAGCTTTCAAATAAACAATGTCAAGAATCCGTAAACCTCATAAGAAAAATCAGAGGATTTTAAAACATTTCTGTCTGTATCTTAAGAATGAAGATAGTGAATCTCAGGTTATGTTTGTACAGTGCCCATACATCCATATGAAATAATAGAATTAAGTCACTCATTTGTCATGTTGTCTAATCAATCTCAAACATCCATATGTGGCAAGCTCCAAATTTGAGTAAATTTTCACTTTTTATCCTGATGTTTGATGTTCTGTAGAAAGAACATCCATGAAAGCTTTAAATGAATAAGAACTCCAGTCAGGATATGAATAAAATTGCTTTATAAGATTTTTTTAATCTTTATTTTCTATCTTATGCAAATACATTTTAAAATATCCCAATGGGTAAAGAATGCAAACAGGCAGTTCACAAAAGAAGAATCACAAGTGGCCAAATAAAAAATAATAAGAGCCTGAGCTCATAATGGCCTTGGAGAGAAGTATGAGGGTCTTTGAGAGTTTTTTGAGGGAAGATTTGGTATTTGATTATATATAATGAATGAGAGGAAAGCATCAAAGATTATAGCTTGGGTGACAGGGTGTATAGCGAGGCCATTAACTGTGATTGGGAGTGTAGGTGGAGGGGAAACAGCGAGTTTGGTTTTGGATCTGTGGACTGTGAGGTGCCTTTGGGACATCCAGGCAAATGTATAGTAGAGTAGGCAGTTGGAAAATTGCATCTGGAGATGAGGAGAAGAGCAGCAGCTTGAGCAAATCCATTTGGGAGTCGTGGGCATATGGATCAATACCTTTCTATTTTGTTTTAATCTGGCTTCACCTTTATAAATACCTGATAAAGGTTATAGATTATTAAGAAAAAAGTGTCCCCATATCAAATAGCTACTTATTGTTATTCCTGTTCCAACTCAGAGAAATCCCCTTTTCATTCTTGGGCGACCCTATTTGCAAGTGGTCAGAAGTTCAATGTAGTCCTTTACTCTTCCTATCCAGAGATTTACCATTTCTTCATTAGGGTAGAATTAAATGGAAAAGATCATTTGTAAATGTTTGCTTACTTCATTCCATCTAAAAAGAGAGGGTACCTTATGGCTGGGTGCTTCTATAAACCATTCTATCCCTAGGGGCCTAAATTTGGGAGCAAGGAAAGATTTGTGAATTGTCATGTATGAGGTAAAATACCAGGAAAATCTTTCATTGAACTAAGAATTCTGTAGGACTAGATTCTAAACACTATAGTGTAGCTATGTTGACTACATTACCAGTGTTTCTATTGTAACATTGTAGAGGTGGAAAAGACCAGACAGATCATTTAGTTCAAACCCACTCCTTCCCATAAATTGTACAAATCTGAAAGCCAAGACCCCGTGAGTTTGTGACTTGACCAAGGTCACACAGTTAATGACAGAAACAGTACCAAACCTGAATTTTCTAACTCTACTCTGTGGCTTAAATTTAGCAGAGGAGGGTTTCTATCTATCCATTAAACTCTGGGTTATGGGCCCGCTATTCTTCTGAGCCATTGTTTTCCAGGACCGGACCTTCCTTTTTTCTTCTACTTTTAATCTTGGAATCTTATTAGAAGTTCCTTCAATCTGTTTTATTTGTATAGCTCTAAAAGTTAAGCTTTATTTTGAGAAAAGAAGTATATACAATGTAAATCCTGCTTTACAGTGTTAGGTAGTTTTGACTGAGTTTCTAGACTTCTATTCCTTTATGTTCTGCTACGTGCCTGAAAAACTGCAAGCACTTATTTAGTCCCTTTTTTTTGTAATAGCACATCCTCATAAGTTTCTAGTTTTCTGCTTTGTGACGGAATTGCTCTTTCATTTGAGTCTCTATACCATTGGCTTTTTTTTTTTTTTTTAGGTATGAGATTATATTTAAACAGCAGGTGGGAACTGAGGATATATTCCTGGGACTCACAAGAAAGGATTCTTCAACAGCTTGTTGTGAGGATCTAGTGGTAAGCCTCTCCCCTCTTCCCCATTTTCCATATGAACATTATAGCTAAATTGACTGACTGTTGTATACATAATACCATAAGCAAGGCTGTAAACTCTAAAAATAGTGGTTGCTATTTTTCAGGTACTAAAGGAATAACGGATTAGACAGTTTAAAATTGGTAAACATGTACAAAATAAACTAAATTTACACATGTGGATAAGATTTACAAACATAGTAGAGTCATATGACATAATATGCTATTTCTAGTCCTATTAAAACTGCCGAATCCAACTGGACTGAATTTTCTTTCATCCTAGTTCTGTCCCATGCATGCCATCTGATTGGTTATTAACTTCTGATGAGTTGACAGGCAATCAGAATGAAATATTTCCTTCCCTAAATCTGTCTTATCTCTTCTAACTGTATTTCTTTTAATGATTCAGTTTATATTGGGGTAAAGATTTAAAAAGGGTTTTTTTCTTAATTTTGGGATCTAAACTTCTGATTTAAGACTCTAAAAAGAGGGCCGGCCCCGTGGCTAAGCAGTTAAGTGCACGTGCTCCACTGCTGGCGGCCTGGGTTTGGATCCCAGGCGCACACCAACGCACCGCTTCTCCGGCCATGCTGAGGCCACGTCCCACATACAGCAACTAGAAGGATGTGCAGCTATGACATACAACTATCTACTGGGGCTTTAGGGGGAAAAATAAATAAAATTAAAAAAAAAAAGACTCTAAAAAGACATTTAAAATGTTATTTGGCTCCCTTGTCTGAATGACACTATAGCAGGCTGGAGAGCATTCTTTGTGAAGCCACTGTTCCTATGTAATAACAACAGCAATACCAACAATATCAATGAGACCACGTTACTTTTGCTTATTTGAACCTCATAATGATCTTGAAAATCTAGGTCTAACCAAGAGTGTGGAATGCAACTCATTTTGGCAATATACACTAGTAATTCTGGTGCTGAGAATTTATTTTTTGAGATCAGGGGCTGTGCATCTCTCTCTTCCCCTCCCTCTCTTTCAATATTTTACAGTATAGAGTACTGAGGCACCCATAGAAGATGGTTAATATTTTTTCTTTAAGCAAATGATAAGTAGAATCTCTCATTTGCATGAACTTCAGATTTTCTCTTATTAGCAAAATCTAAGACATTCAATTGAATCAAGTAACATAATGGGAATAGTGACTTTAAGTACCTCAGGAGATTTTTTAAACTCTAGTGAGTTAAGGTTTCAAGTGATCTTGAAGTAATTAGCTCCCAGGGTTTTACCAGTAATATTCAAATTCCTCTCTTTAAATTACTGTAAAATTACTTTTCTGATGTCTAGTATTGAGGATTGCTCTAAACTCTGGAGAAATTCTAGGCCCTAAATAAATAAAACTGTTGTGGGCCTTTCCATTTCTCTCATGCAAATCACTACTAGTTTTAATAATAAAGGTATACTGAATGAAGAATCTTGGAAACCAAATCACACCTCAGAATAGGAATATAGACTTTATCTAAAACTCAACAGATATATAAAGAAGATTTGGTCTCTCCCTCTAATGAATTTATAGTTGATTGGGGAGACAAAACTAACATAAGTGAACTCATTTTATTATTAACAATCAAACTCAGTGTTGACAATTGTAAATCTACCCAGAGTTCAGAGAGTTTGGATAAAGCATGGACACCACTGAATGGCAGTAGCAGATGAAACATTTCTTGGTGCTGTGGCACTTTACTACATGTATACTGTTCTTTTTCTCCTTCTTTCTTTTTATTCATATATTCAATCTTTAAATACTTAGTGAATACTACTGCATACCGGGCACTGTCATAAGTACTAGGGATACAGAAATAAATAAGAAACAATTACCCTCAAGGAATTTACAGGAAAGGAGACAGACACCTAACAAATCACTGTAGTTTAAATAGGGTAAGTACATATTTAGAGGTATATACCACGTACATGGTGACATAAAGCAGAAAGTGATCAACCCTGGGTGGATAGGATTTCTACAGTGGACAACATTCCAAGAAGGGCATTCCAAGCAGAGGTAAGAGCACATGGAAAGGTATCCAGGCATGAAATATCATGGCTTATTTGAGTAAGCAGTGAGTATAACAAAAATAAATAATTGTGGACAGTGGTATACTGGTAAGCTGACTCTCAAAAAAGAAAAAAAGCCCTGATTTGTAGCTTGAATTTTATCCGGTAGGCATATTAATGATGACATCCACCATTGTTGCTTACCTCCGCTGGTAAGACTCAGACTAAAGAGGTTGTTGACCAATCTCATGTATTTCTTTCTCAAATTTATAAGCTTAATATTTCTGTTGATAATATGGCATTTATTTCCTCAAATCTAAAGCATCCTCAAATTGTAAATGTTCCATTTATTTAATAACAAATGAAAAAAAATGTATAATGCTCCATTAAATGTGTGCATTGATTGTATGATGCATCCCAATATCAGAAACATTGAAATGTGGGGAAAATTGCATCTTAGAATTGGCTAAATATGTTATTTGGGACCTGGACCTGGCCTGTATGTAATAATCCAACCCAGAGACTTGAAGAAGAAGACCTCTGCTTAAGCTGAGGAAGGTAATAGGAGCACATACAATCTGTTTAAGAACGAGGAGTGATTTGGGGTTTAAAAATTCACAAAGACCACCCTTTCCTTTACCCTCCGGAGACTCCGAATAAGAAAGCAAGATTTATGATTCCTAAATCAAAGCGATTGTCCTAAATGAAATTCTGAGTTAGGAATATGAATGTCGTCAGCAAACCTTCCATTCTTTTCTTCTAACCCCAATTCAAAGAGCTCCATTATCCAAATTCTGCCTGCTGCTCTACTCCCTTATTTGTAGCTACCAAACTTCCCTTGCCTTAATCTATATTTAGGCATTTTCTTTTTTAAAATAAAAATTGTATATATTTAATGTGTACAACATGATGATTTGATGTACATATACATATTGAAATAATTATAACAGTCAAGCTAATTAACATACCATCTCCTCATATACTTACCATTTGTGTGTGTATATGGTGGAAGCACCTGAAATTGACTCTCTTAGCGAATTCCCAGTATTCAATATAATATTATTAACTGTAGTCATCATGCTGTACATTGATTTTAGAGCTAGAGCTAAGCCAGTGGTTTGCAGGTTTGTTTTTAGCTGCCAACCCTTTTCTTCAAACAAAATTCTATGAGAAAGCCCAACACATAAAACACATAAAAATACCACTGCCTTGGTTAAAGGGTACTATCACCCATTAGGCTGCTCCTAGGAGAAAAATTGGGGCTCCTTGGAACACAGTTTGAAAGATGCTGATCTAGTCTTTCCTCCTTATATTACAGCTGAGAAAATAAGGTCAAGCTTACAAGGTATCAAATACTCATATAAACTAATGGAAGAATAATAAGAATGCTAGAGGGTTTTTTCCACCTAGGTGAAATGTATATGTTTTTCTTTGAACCTCATGAGTAGAATGCCCCTGTCTTGTTTTGTTGTTTTATTTATTTTTTATTCTTTATTTTCTCTTTGATCCTCTATCCTCTCCATCCCTCCTCACAAGGTTTCCACTGTAACGGGTTTGATATATATCCTTGACTATATATCCTTGAATACATATTTATCTTGTCTGCTATAATTTTTCAATTCAACAAATACTTATTGAGCACTTACTATAAGCCAGATACTCAGTATACAGTGTTGAACCAAATAGGTAAGGTTCTCCTTCTATCAAGGAGCTTACTGTCAAGAGATCAAGCAGTCCATAAGCAGCAGCACAGATTTTCATAGATCCATCCAATAAGGAAAGGTAAACCCAAATGGATATAGTTTATTACTTACACAGACAGCATAAGCAAGATCAGCAGCGTGTCAGCTCCCTGTGTCCCTTTGCCCCACAGGACGACATTGAACTAAAGGAGCCAGATGACAGGTGACATGAACAGTGGGACACTCTTGCTGAAGAGCCAACTCCAGCTTGCAGCTGACTCTTTTATAGCCTGCGCCCAAGGGGAGGGAGGTGGAAAGTCCTATGCCTTCCCGGAACCAGGGAGTAGGGTGAGAAACTGCCTCGAGGCTTCCTCCTGCAAGATAAGGAACTTCTCACAAGGTAGAAAGACAGATAAGAAACAGCCTTGAGGCAGCTCCTCACAAGACTGCCTATCTTCCCACATTCCAGGAAGATCACAGGATGTTCTGCCAAGACCTGGGCAGACCCACAGTTGAGCCTTGCCTACTTGTGGATAGTGCAAGGTCACCAGAGTGCCATAGTGGAGCCATTTCCCTACATTTACAGTCTATGAATAAAAGTTTTTATCCTGATTGTTTTCACTTAACATGATATAATAATAATAGCAAACAATTTATATAACGCTTACTATGTGCCAGGCATTTCTCTAAGAACTTTGCACATAGTAACTCATTAATCCCCATACCAAAACTCTATGAAATAAGTACTATTGTTCCTGTTTTACAAATGAGGTTACTGAAGCACAAAGAAATTAAGTAACTTGCTTAAGGTCACACATTTAGAATCTGGCCAAACTACAATTTGAATCCAGGCAATTTGAATTTGGTAGAAGTATGTGCAAAGCGATATGGGCACAAAGAAGAGGAAGTCCAAGCAGACTTTACAATACAAGTCGCATTTGACCTGGACATTTGGAGGACATAATAGTTTGTCAGGGTGGAAAAGTGTCTAAGCAGAGTGAAAAGCATGAGCAGGGCATAGTGCTATGAAAGTATATAATGTGTTTTGAGAACTATTCATGATGTTCTTGGAGCCCCAGAATGCACTAGTATGGAGTAATAAAAGATAAAACAGAATGGGCAGCTTAGAGTTAGTTGTAAAAGACCTTGAATGTCATACTGTGTGCTATGGACTGAATTGTGTTCCCCCAAAATTTATATGTTAAAGCCCTAACCCCCCAATGTGATGATATTTGGAAATGGAGACTTTGGGAGGTAATTAGGTTTAGATGAGTTCACAAGGGTTGGGCCCTCAG